AAAGGGTATACTATTTTGTATCCAATATCTATCTTTCATCTTACCCTAATGCTGATATCTGTTAGTTTACCATTATTTATTTCCTGAAATGCATATTGGGTAAATAACGGGTCAATAAAGGTATATCCTGTTATTTAACTATTATTCATATATTCAACCTGTGATATGTGCCAGATCTTTAATGCATAGATGATTGCTAAGAGTTTTTTTTTATAAATTGGATAATTCAGTTCTGTGGGGGTTAGTTTTCTTGATTCGTATACTATCAGTTGTTCTCCTAAGCCTTGGTTCTGGGATAATACACATCTATTATTATGTTTGAAGTATTAGTTGTGAGAATAAATAGTTTGCTGTGATCTGGAATTAACAATACCAGGGATATTAATGTTTCTTTAAGTTTTTTAAAAGCTATCTCTTGTGTTTTCTTTCACTCAAAATTTTTATTTTTCTTTAATAGCTTTGTCAATAGGGCTGCGGTGTTTGCGAAATCTTTTACGAATTTCTGGTAATAACTTACGAGGTCTAAAAAGGATCAAAAATTATAGATACTAGTAAGTGCGAACCAATCTTGAATGGTTTTAATTTTCTTGGGTTCTGCTTTTACTCCTTCTTGTGAAATTATGTAGCCTAAGAACTCTACTTCTTCCTTCCCTAATTCGTATTTTTTAATCTTCCCATATAGTTTATGTTGTCTTAAAATTTCAAATACTTCCTTTACGTGTTTGTAGTGTTTTTCTTTTGATTTGCTATATATTAGTATATCTTCTTGATATACAATAACACTTTTATCTAGCTGTTTACAGAAGATATTATTTATTAGCCTTATGAATGCGGCGGGGGTGTTAGTCAAGCCAAATAGCATGACTAAGAATTTGTAATGCACGTATCTTGTTCTAAATGCCATCTTGGGTGTGTCTTCCTCTTTTACCCGTATTTGGTAGTATCCTGAGTGAAGAACTATCTTACTAAAATATTTTGCATCTAATACTTGATCTAATAATTCATCAATTGTGGTAAGGGGTATCGATTTTTAATTGTTATCTTGTTCAGTGCGTGATAATCAACACACTTTCTTAGTGTTCCTTCTTTTTTAGCTACGAACAATTCAGGAGCACTATACGGTGAAGTGCTTGGTTTGATTACTTCTTTACCTATATAGTCTTCAATCTGTTTCTTTAACTCTTTCATTTTTGGCACTGACATTTTATATATAGGTCCATATGGTGAAAACGTTCCTTCTTGTAATGGTATTTCATGATCTATATTTCTTTCTGGTGGTAGTTTCTTAGGCAGTTTATCAGGAAATACATCCTGATATTGATCTACTAATTCTTTTAGAAACTTTGATACCCTTTCATTTTAGTTTCCTTTTCAGAATCTTCTATGGCGAGTACAGCATATAGTTCCATGGTTCTTTTTATTTCTTGGTTGAATTGTTGTCTAGACACAAGACTTATTTGATATTCTTTTGTATTTTCTTTTACTTCTATTCTAATATTATAAATACGATTGTCTTTTTTAATTGAGATTTGATTATTTTTCCAGTTAATTCTTGGGTTTAGGTCATAAAGCTACAGTTTTTCCAAAATAAGGTTATATTTTTGCAGAGATAATACTTCTACATCTTTCCTTGTGTCATTATAATTTTGTATTATAATTCTAATCTTTGGTATACTTTCTTTAGATTCACATTGGGACCTGTCTGCCAATTCAATTGCGGTATGTATACTCTATCTTTCATTTTTAATTGTATTTTCTTACTAAACTTTTCATCTATAAAATCTTTAGATGCTCCAGAATCTATCAAGATTAGCGTGTTTCGACCTTGCACTTTTTCTTCAATTCTCAGGAGATTTTCATGATTTTCATTATTCCTTTCTTCTGTTTTCAGTAGGCTTTTACCTTTTTCTTCGTTGCTTCTATTACTTTTTCTTGAATCTAGCTTTTCCACTTAATTAATTTCATTATTTTTGCTTTAGCAGTCTTTTGCCATGTGTCCTTTCTTTCCGCAGTCAAAGCATAACCTTTTTCTTTTATACTCTTCTTTTTGCTTCTCGGTTAACATTACTCTTCCTTTTTTTTCATTTATAGGTTTTGTATTCTTAGAACGCCCTTTTTCTATTCTGTCTAATTCTATCGGTATAGGGCTTTGGTCTCAGCTTTGTGGTATGTAACTTGGAGTATTTTTGTATCTCCAGCTCTCTTCGCTTGATCTTGTATTTCTTCTTGAAAGATAATTATAGTTGTTCTTTGTTCTGTACATTGCTGTATCATAACTTGTAGCAAGTTTTACTGCTTCGTCTAAGGTTTTTGGGGCCTGATAGTTGATTTCAGCCTTTGTGGCTCCTTTCAGTCCTTCAGTGAAATACATCACTTTATCCGGTTTCACAATTTCTTCTATTTGTCCTAACAAATTTCTAAATTTTTCTGCATACTCTTGGACCATAGATATTTGTCTTAATTCTCTTAATTAATGCTTAAAAGTTGTTGGTGATAGGGCAGTTAGAATGTAGCTTTAATACTAGTAGAAAATAAGTTTCAACTTGCAAATGGTTAGTTATTTTCATTGGCTTGAACTAAGTTTAGATACCATAGTAATACTGCATCTTTCAATTCAGTTATTATATACTACAGCCGTTCCTCATCTTCTACTTTTTTGGCTTTAAAAAGAAGATCTACTTGAAGAAGCCAAGTAAGAACATTTTCACCATCTTTTCCACTAAACACTGGTAAATGGATGTTTAATCCTTTGGATCCAGTATTTCTTTGTTCTTTTGTGTCTGTATCAAAAATGCTTTCTGATGTTTCTATGGATTTTGAGTTTCCTGTAACTAACGTTTGTAAGTAATCGTTAGTTGCTTGCTGCTGTTGGGTCATATCAGCAAGGTACTGATTGAATTGATTCTGATTTTGGAGAAATCTTTTAGACATAGTAATAAAATCAGTATCTATTGGATCTGTTGTATCTATTATATCTTCGTTTTTACTTTCCTTAGCCGGTCAGTGATTATTTCAAAAATTTTATTTTATTTTATTTATGAAAACTTTATTTCCACTACTACCAAATATAACTGTATCTATTAAGAGTAGATAGGTTTGGGACAATTTTTCTATTAAATGAAGCAAAAATGGGGTTTTTTTTATCTCTTTTTTTTAGATCAGAGTGCAACTGAAAGCCTAACTATCTTTTTTTTTCTTTACATTATTTATATTGCATATTACAGGCAATTACATAATTATGACTTTAATAGAATGCATGGTTATTACGATTTCTAATGACTAATACTAATGTGGTTCTAGCATCATGCTCACATTCGTTGTATGAATCTCTGACACGTTCATTGTACTACATATGCATTGTGCCACGTGGTTCAATAATTCATTTACAAAAACACTATCCTAAAATATGTTTCTATCGTAAATGAACAAAGATGAAAAAGACAAGAAAGTCAGGTAATTCTAACAAGAAAAAAACTATACACTAAAGTACGATTATAACCTGTGCTAGTGGATAAAAATCATATGACAATAGCAATATTGCATATAAAGCTTTGTTTTAACCTTTATAATTTTTTTTTCAAACTACATTAATACTGAAAGTTCTGGTCAGCCCTTCTAAGCTGTATCTCAAGCCAGATACTGCTGCTATCTGAGGACCTGTATCTCAAGCCACCTGCTGCCACCATTAAAAGTATCTTAATCAATATCTCCAGACCAAACTAGTAGCATCACATTCAAATTAGGCCAAACACATGGTTCCTATCTACTATGTCAACTGAAAAAAGAAATTAGTAAATAATGTCGATCTTTAGATGGGGTAAGCTGTTTTGTTCACTTTTTTCAAAAATTTTGTTGCTAGAACAAGTGGGCAAGTAGAAGAAAAAGTAAAGAGTAACTAAACAAATAGCAGTTATTTGTCATAAACTGTTTTTTCTAAATGAACTCTTCTTTTTAGTAAGTGATAAACTCTAGACCTGTTGGCAAGTCACATATGAGAACTATTTCTAAATGACAAGTGCTGTCTCAGCAGTAAGTGATAGACTCAAGCCTGTTAGCAAGTAGCATATGAGAACTACCTCTAAATAACAGGTGCTAACTTATAGCTTTGTTTTAACTCCAGGTGCTTCCTATAACCTCTTTACTGTGTTTTGAGTTCAAAGAATTTTTTAGAAAATTTTGGTACAAGTGATCGATGAAGAGAGTTTTGTGTATAACTATATTACTTTTATTTTAGTTTTATTACAATTCTTTTTTAACTTTATTATATTTATAATTATTAACTTATATTAAATTTTTCATATTACAAACAACTTACTTCATATATATCTTATAGTATTACTATAAAACTTTATACTTATCTAGAACTTATCTAGATTTTTAAAATCTAAGTAAGTCTTGGCCACTCTAGTAGGTTTAAATCACAGATAATAAACTTTTTGAGCTTTTATTCTTGTATATAGTTTATATTTATTTTTTATTATACAAATTAAGTTTTTATATAGGGTGTAGTGATCTAGTATAGTGGTTAGGTTGTCACCCTCATCAAGTGGCAGGTCAAGAGTTCGAAACCCACCAAGGACAGAAAATTCAAATAATTACCTATATTACAGCAACTGTCTTTTGTTAATCAGTTGGGATAGGATACCTATAACTATGATAGCACTAGCAAAACTGGCAGGTCTGGGGCATTTATGCAACTCTGGGTTATACAGAAGAATGCAAACTGGTAATAGGTGGTACAAATACTAGATAAGTTCCTAGGTCATGTAAATCTGTAGAACTGGGAAGACAGAACCCCATTTGAAAAGACCCAAGTAAAGAGGTAGCACAGATCTTCAACAGTACTACTGTAAAGGCTAGACCCAAGAAAAAAGAAACCGAAGTGGAAGAACCAGACAGGGCATGATCAGTGTGTGGTAAAGTGTGTCTACTAACCAGGCTGCCAGACTAACCGGAGAAAAGGTCATGGCAGTGCTGATAAACCAAGAACAGATTACAGTCCTTCCGGGCAATCTGGATTGGGAGTCTAGAACCAAAGCAGAAGGGAACCGAAGTACTGGGAATATGCTGTGAAGTGAGTACCGGGTTTGGGTAAATTTTGCAAGGACATAGCCCTGTTAATAAGATCATAGAGTGAATAGGTTGTTGACAGGGAGGCATCCCGAGCCTTGCTACTAAGTGATGTACCCCAAATAAAGGGTATGGCCTAGGTTCCTAGCACAGAAAGAGAGACCATATAGGGTGTTATCTATTAAAACAGCCCTTTTTTACTTTTTTTTAAAAATTGAGTTTTTTCGATTTTCTAATAAATATATATTTGGCAAAAAGATTTACCAAATCACAAGACCAAATTATATAATAAAAAAATCTGTGAATTGCAAAAAACTGAAAAAATGACAAAATCTAAAAATAGAAACATAAGATTTCTAGACCAACAAGAACCCAATAGAATTGAAGATCACCTAGATTATTAATAAACATACTTTCGGATATACTATGTAAGGTATTATTATAAAAAGATTTTATGCAAAATCGTTAAATTCACTAGCAAATGAATCAACTGTTTTTTCAAGCAATTAATACATCAAACGATTAGTTTAATATAATTAAACAAAGCTATAGTTTAAAATTTTTATTTTTATTTGTCATTTTATAACTTTTAAAATTTTTAAACTATAGCTTTGTTTAATTATATTAAACTAATCATTTGATGTATAAATTGCTTGAAAAAAATAGTTTGCAATTTTTTGAACATTAGTCTTCGCTACATAGTACCGGTAAATTTAATGATTTTGCATAAAATTTGTACTACTTGTTTTTATTATAATACATAGATTTCTTGGTGTTTTTTTTTAAAAAAAATTTTTTTGTTACTAATTTTTTTTTTCTTCTTTTCGGTGTTTTCTCCCAGTTCTTTATTGGTAAGTGAACTTTCTTCGACGTTTTCCAGTAAACCTTGGAGACTTTACTAATCTTTCAGAATTGGTTGTCGTGGGATCTTTTGACGATTTGAACTTGTGGATTTTCTGGTTTTCGATGTTTTTGAAGAATGTTCTTATTTACTTTCTTCCTTTATTTCGACGTTTTTGGAGAACTTTCCTGCAGACTTTCCTCTTGTCTTTTGACTTTTTTTTTTTGGAGAACTTTTTGTAGACTTTTTCCTCTTGTCTTTTCAGTGTTTAGTTAGTGAACTTTCTTGTGGATTTTCCTCTGGTCTTTCAGAATTTTTGGAGAAACCAGAGGAATGTTTACAATAAAGTTCACCAACCATTTTTTTGTGAATTTCCCTCTGGTCCTTCGGCGTTTTTTTGTTTGGAGGATTCTTTTGTAGATTTCCCTCTGGTCCTTTAGCATTTTTTTGAAGAATTCTCTTGTGGATTTCCCTCTGGTCCTTCGGCAGTCTTCTGGCAAATTTCTTATAGATATCTCTCTAGTATTTCGGTGTTTTTTTTTTTTGAAGAATTCTTTTGTGGATTTCCCTCCAGTCCTTCAGCATTTTTCTGGCAAATTTCTTGTTGATATCACTCTGGTCCTTTGGCGTTTTTCTGGTGAATTTCTTGCGGATTTCCTTCTGATATTTGGCATTTTTTTTTGGAGAATTCTCTTGTGGATTTCCCTCTAGTCCTTCAGCAGTCTTCTAGTGAATTTCTTGTGAATATCTCTGGTATTTCAGCATTTTTTTTTTTTGGAGAATTCTCTTGTGAATTTCCTTCTAGTCCTTCGGCGGTCTTCTGGTAAATTTTTTGTGGATATCTCTGGTATTTTGGCATTTTTTCTTTGAAGAATTCTTTTTTGTTGTTTTTCAGTAGTCTTTGGTGAATTTCTTGTAGATTTTTTCTGGTATTTTGACATTTTTTTTTTTTTTTGGAGAATTCTCTTGTGGATTTTCCTCTGGTCCTTTGATATTTTTCTGGTGAATTTTTCCTTTTGGCTTTTTGGCATTTAGTTTGTAGACTTTAAAAAAATTTTTTAATTTTTTTCTTGTTAGTATTTCTTTTTATTAATTTTTAAAAAAAATATAATAAAATATAAAAAATAATTTGTACTCAAGTTTGTATTATTTGCTGTAATTATAGTGTGCTATAATGTTGCAATGGTGTAGTGCTGTATTGCCATAATACCATATCACAGTAAAATTAGTTTTTTTTTTAATATTAC